CAGGCCTACGGGGGCAGGTGGGTTGGTGGGCGGCGGCAAGCACAGGATGTGGAGCCAGACGCCCACGGCCCGGGCATCCCGGCGGCCCCAGTAAATAAAGCCCGGGTGGAGAAGCCTCGCATGAGGCCTTTCGGTGGCTCCGGAGGTGCCTCTGCCCGGCCCTCCTTGCCCCGCTGAGCAGAAGGGAAAGGGAGCGGGGTCCGGAGAAGAAGTCCGGCCAGAGGAGCCGGGCTTAGCCTCTCCCCCCACCACCACCCCCGCCCGCTTCCAGACCGGCCCCATCGGCCCGGATCCCTTCGGCGCCCTTTCCCCGCCCGCACCCTCGAGCCCACGCCTTTGGAAGTGAAGGGATGTCTTCTGCCAGCTCCGTGGACATGATTGAAACCCCCCCAGTGCTCAATTTCGAAGAGATCGACTACAAAGAGATCGAGGTGGAAGAGGTGAGTCTCCAAAGGCGTGGCTTGGGGTTTAGAGGGGAGGGGGATTTGGCCTCAGGGCCCCAGATGTCTCTCTCATCAGGAGTAAGCACCACGTAAGCCTTGAGGTTTGAAGATGTCCCGGATTTAACCGATAGGCAGTGCTGCTTGCCACCACTGATGCTGGGCTTAAAAAGGCTGCAGTCTTGTACCTGTATGTGCTTGAAAGTCAGGACCATTGAAGTCTGGTGTCTCTGCTTGGAAGAAAGAGCTGCTACTGCTTACAGTGCTTCATTCTTATGCAGGAACCTGGATTGTACTGCATATTTCTAAGCAAAATTAGATGTCAAGGCAACTAGGAAGTTGTTTCTCTCCCTCTCCCTCCATGGTGTTCTGAGATATAAACAGACTCATTGTACTCTTAACAAAGAAAGGAGAGTCCCTCTACTATAATGGCAAAAATGAGAATTTTATAGAAAGTTGGCCCAAGTTCAAATTCCCACTTAGCTGTGCAAACCCCTGGCAAAGTGTAGCCAGTCAATACTTCTTAACCTAAGACATTTCATTGTCTTGAAGATTAAATAAGGAGGATCCATGCACACTGCCCTTAGTTCTGCTGGAGAAAAGTGGACTAAAAATGATAGCAATATTGATATGTCCAAGGGCTGAGTCTGAATGCTTATTAAGGGTTAAATGAACCAAAAAGACACATGCTTGATTAGAGGGTCTCAAGTCAAACAAGAATTGTTATAGAGTTTCCTCCCCTCAAAAAAGGTTGCCATCTCATGAGAATATTGGACAACTGTCAGATCTGCTTTGTTTTGGTGGATTCCTGCACTGAGTGGGAGTTGGACTTGATGGTCTTAGAGGCCCCTTCCAGCTCATTTATTCTGTGATTCTCTCATATACAGTAGATTTTTGAGGAATAGTGCTTGAAGTCCTTACGTGCCATTTTGTGTTCTCAAATGTTTAGAATAGGAAGATTGGCATTTAATGATTGTGGTAGTATTGAATTGCATCCTCTTTTGTGTTAGTTGTATATTACATTTATATACATAAATGTATATAATGTATATAATGGTGGCGCTGTGGGCTAAACCGCAGAAGCCTGTGCTGCAGGGTCAGAAGACCAAGCAGTCATAAGATCGAATCCACGCGACGGAGTGAGCTCCCGTCGCCTGTCCCAGCTCCCGCCAACCTAGCAGTTCGAGTATATTACATTTATATACATAATATGCATTATGTATATTACATTTTCCCTAGACATAAATTTTCTCCAAAGAGGTTGTGGAGGCGAATAAATTTATTTTGCCATTTTAATGTGTAATTTCTGTGTGGCTTCACTCGTGCATGCACCTTAGGAAGCTATGATAAGCCACTACTTGCCTGTATACATATTTACATAGTGAAATACACATATGCTTCATGAGACATCACCTCAGACATTACTTTCATCTAATGCAGAGCGGGAATGTGATGCTCCAGGTGTTTTTGGATTGCAGTTCCCATTCCCATAACTAATAGAAGAGGATGATAACAAGTTCTGCTTTAACAACTCTGGAAGGCCACATATTTTCCTTCTCTTCTGTTCTGCTTTGTCAAATCATCTTCCCTTCCCTGTTCTGTTCACACAATGCTCTTTTTAAAACTCCATATTGGTTTGCTCTGTATCTTGTTTGTCCATACCTGCAAAGCCCTTCTGGCCTTGTGCCTTCCTATAAATCTCTGCTCTTATATGCTGATATAGGCCTGTCTACCTACATACAGTCCTCAGCTGTCTGAAGGTATCTTGTTCCTTAAAATACATACTTTTGGTGAACAATTGCATAGAGAAAAGAGGATTTGTGACAGTGCTTGGCAGAAAGTGGGGGGAGACCAAGTGTTAGGAGTAAGTAAATACTGGGAGTAGTGCTTGGCAGAAAGGGGGGGCGGGGAGACCAAGTGTTAGGAGTAAGTAAATCAAATGAAATATTGGTTAAATTACATCTTCACTTGAATACTAGTATGATATGTACTAGCCACCATGACAGCACACCTATAGTACCTGCCACCTGTATTGCTTGGAGGATACAGCATGGCTATTCGGTTGGGACAGCAGCATACTTAAGCTCATTATTGGATCTGCTGTGAAGAGCCAGGGGTTTGGGTTAGGGGACACAAGCATCTGACCTTAGCAAGAAGTGAGCTGTTGCCTCTCTAGCCCATGAGGAACCCTTTCAAAGAACAGGTATCTGCATCTGCCCTCACTTGTCCTCAGTTACGATCATCAGCCAGTGCACTGCTGGCAGATGGGGTGGTTGTGTCTGAAGTAACAACTGGAACATCAACAGAAATAAACAACAACAACAAAAACTTTAAGAAAGGAAAAACTCCAGAGTTAAATAGCTAATCAGAAATTGCAAAATGCACATTGCCATTGGAAATGGTATGCATATTGAAATCAGTAAATCATGCAGGAGATACTTTCTCAACCTCAATGGAGCAGATAAGCCCTACCAAAGGTACTGAAATGATTTAAAATGTATTTGCATACACTTGTTATGGTGAAAGACCTATGACACATTTTGCTGCTTAGGCTGGTCTTATCCATGCACTGATGGCATTATTTTCACAGGCATTGCATACTTGATCAAGCTTTATCCTCACAAAGACCCGAGGTAAATGTAAGTAGCTGTTCCTTCAGACAGTTTGGTTGATCTATCTTCTGTTAAGAAGGAATACTACAAAAAGAGTTAATTATCAATTATCGTTAATAGTATGGATCTGACCATAGGTTCATATGCAGTAGTGCTTGAAGATAAGTTGTGAAATATCACTGACATTGTTATACGGAATTCATGACAGAAGAGAAGTCGAAGGATGAAGAAGTCACAGTCAAGGATGAAGAACCATTCTTCTCAAACTACATACAGTATAATTCATTTGTCTTAACATATTGGGCAGTTGCAGTTCCTGCCTTCAGATTATCACCTTATCTATCATGAATTGATGGATGCTGCTGTTGACTGAACTCATCCAAAAGAACAGCTTCCTAGATTCATTGTAGAAATGTTGTGAGGATAACATTGATAAAGTTGGTCATTAATTCATTTGTCTTTACATATTGGGCAGTTACAGTTCCTGCCTTCAGATTATCACTGTATCTATCATGAATTGATGGATGCTGCTGTCAGTATAATTCATTTGTCTTAACATATTGGGCAGTTGCAGTTCCTGCCTTCAGATTATCACCTTATCTATCATGAATTGATGGATGCTGCTGTTGACTGAACTCATCCAAAAGAACAGCTTCCTAGATTCATTGTAGAAATGTTGTGAGGATAACATTGATAAAGTTGGTCATGTTATGTTTGAAGAGATGTTTTCAGTGCCATATCTGACATATGTGAACTAATGCCATGGTGAGGACTCTTAACTTGTGTAGCAAAGATTATTTAGGAAGGTGTACACAATTACACTCTTTCAAGTCTGAGAGGTCTCCCATCATCAAGAAACGTATGCAAGTTTACTTTTTGTAAGTCCCATGTTTGCATTCAGTTCCACCATTAATAAGAAGGGGAGGCAAGGGACAGTATATGCAGTTCCATGTCTCCTGCTGTTTTCAGCATGGACAGAACTGAACGCTGAATCAGTGGGCTGAGATCCCATGTGTGCTTGAATGCCACATTTGCTGGGCTCTACAACTTAGTTTAATCCAGATAATGGTCTCCTTTTTATTTGATCACTTATTGCTCGGACAAGGAAGTGGTGAGGAAACAACAAAATTCAGAGTTAAGTTTCTAATTTTCCTCTTCTTCGCTTTTCCTGCTCCCAGTACACTCCAGGGACAGATGATAATGTGATCAATGCCCACATGGGTTTTTTTCCCCATGAAAGAGAATAATGTTCAGAGAATTGTTCTAGACAAATTGGCACAACAGGATCCCTCGAATGAAAGTAAGCCCACTATCCATGTGGGATTATTTCCAGGACCTTGATTAAACTGCGTAGTTTTGTTGCCCATGTGAAATGCAAGAACAGGGAGTTGATAAAGGCTTTGTAGGATACTGTGAATGGCTTCTGGATTGTATGCATCTTAACACACCATAGGATGTGCAAGTCTTTTCAGAATATATAATCTGGCCATGGTGACACATGCCCTTTTTACATCTCAGTTGGATTACTGCAATATGTTCTACGTGGCGCTGCCTTTGAAAAGTGTTTGGAAACTTCAGAGGGTCCAAAATGCCACAGCCAGATTGTTAACTGGGGCTGGTTTAAAGATGTAAAATATTTAGAAGTTCAGTTTTTTTTCCAGGGGAAAAGGGGGAGGGAAGTGGTTTTTTTCTGGAAAAAAAAATGGACATTTTCAGAAATTTTACATCTCTAGGCTAGTTACAGAGAACACATAAACCCCTTTTACAGAAGCTTCACTGGCTGTTAATCCACTTCCAGGCACAATTCAAAGTGCTGGTTTTAATCTACAAAGCCCTAAATGGCTTGGGCCCAAGCTGTCTAAAAGACGGCATCTCCCTCCATGATCCTGCTTAAGCATTATGACCATCAGAGGAGGCCTTTGTCTCAGTCCCACCACCCTCTCAGGTGTGTTTAGTGGGGACATGAACAGGCTTTCTCTGTCGCTGCTCCCAGACTTTGGAACTTCCCTCCCACGGGAAGCTAGATTGGCTCCGTCTTTGCTGTCCTTCCTCAGGCAGGCAAAAACCTTTCTCTTCAGGCAGACTTTTCCTTAATGACTGGTGGTCTGAGAAGGGTTTTAAACAGACTGTTGTGCTCTGTTGTTTTAAATGTGTTTTAATATTGATCTTAGTTACCATCTAAATATAATACTTGTTTAATTCTTTTTTTAAAAGTATTTGTATACTTACTGTTTTTAGCTTTTAAATACTATTTTAATGATGTAAGCTTCCTTGAGTCCTTTTGGGGAGAAAGGCGGGATAGTAATATTTTAAATAAATAAATAATATAATATAAAACTGTATTCTTCATGTCATTCTATATTAAGATTTATTTGAAGAGTGCTATGCTGATTGTGTTTTTGAAATATTCCTCTGAATGTTTCCATTTTTTTTTTAAATTTAGGTTGTTGGAAGAGGTGCCTTTGGAGTGGTTTGCAAAGCAAAATGGCGAGGGAAGGACGTGGCCATTAAGCAAATAGAAAGTGAATCTGAACGAAAAGCCTTCATAGTAGAGGTATAATTTTATGTTAATATTTTTTGATACAATCTATCAGATAGCTTGTTGGTTCCAGAGTATCTTAAGGTTGTATTAAAGCAGAAGGTACCCAACAGTACCAGAAAATGTATCTAAAGGCTGTGCTGAGTATAAAGCACAATTAACAGTTCCTCTTTTACTAGTTGATGGACTGGTATTGAAGTGTTCACAGTTTGACTGGTCATAAAGCATTCTCTTTGTTGTGCTTTGGAGGCCTTTTACATTCAGGGCTCAGTTGTATGATGAAGCAAGCTGTAGTGGAGTCCAAGACTTCTATGGACTGCACTTATAGCATCTGTGTACTTCTTTATAAGAACACTAGAAGCTTCTTAGTCTCATTCAAGATTGAAGCCTCCCTCGTTTATACAGATATTCTATAAACAAAATAGGTTTGGAATTTTAAAAATATGCAACTGCTACAGCTGGAAAAACAGGAAAGAGTCCTGTGGCACCTTGAAGACTAACAAGTTATATATGGCACATACATTATGTGAACAACAGCAACCCATTCTGATGTATCTGAAAAAGTGGACTGCAGTCTACAAAAGCTTACACCAAATAAAGCATGTTAGTCTTAGAGGTGTCTGAGGGTTAAACTTTCGGCTCCTTGTTCAGTTCAAAGAAATCAGTAGATTTTTGTTGCTTCAAAACAGATGAAAGATTTATTTATAAACAGGTGTCTACAACATGATTGTGAGTCTTTTCTCCTTCTGCCAACGGGTCCAGAAGGGGTTTCCAATCTTCAAACAGGAACAGGTTTCCATAACTATTGTTCCATGGTCCCAGTAGATCTGAAGGCACCCAGTTGCCTTCCAACAAGGGCACAGTTTCGTCATCCCAGTCATCATCCCACAGGATCTGTCTCTCAGGGTCTCGGTTCTCCCGGGATCCTTCCTGTAACTCCTTCTCCTCATCTCCCTTACTCTCCATTCCAGTCTTTCTCTCCTTTCTCTCTCAACTCTCTCTTTCTCCTCTCCCAGTCTCCTCCTCCACTCTCTCACCTCGGCTTCTCCCCAATAAGAGGGTCTGGGTGGAATCTCCGCTCTCCTATAAACTGCTTCTTCCTTAGGCACTCTTAGCCTCTCCCATAATCCCATCCAGGGAAACTCCATCCACACCCATTCCCAACCGGGCGGCAACTGCTCTTCCCTCCTTTTTACCTCCCCTGTTCCTGCCTCAAACTCCACCCTCTTCTTTCTCTCCTTTCCTGCCTTTTCCTCCTGAACCTCTCCCATCATTACTTTCTGCACCTCTTCTGTCAGTTCCTCTATTACTGGCTCTTGCTGAGGTCTCACTGTAGACTCTGGTGCGGGCTTGGGTCTTGCTTCCTTATCCTTGCTGTTGAGGAGGGACAGCTCTCCGGCGAGTGGGGTATCGTTCTCGCCTTCTGTCTCATAGTGTCAAAGGACATTTCATTTTTTTAACATAGCTATCTCCTTGATTTTTTTATTAGTCAATACTCAGTCAATTTGTAATTTAATGATAAATCCCATATTTATGGGATGTCCCTCCGAGCAAACGCAGGCACAATTTTGCTTTTGAAAGATTTCTCAATATATTGGCAAGTCATATAATGTGTAATGTTACTTATTTTTCTGTATACCAGAGTCCCTTGGTTTTATTTACAGTGCTATATTGCCCATATAAGTGTTTGCCATCCTGGGAGTCATGACCCCCGAGAGAACCATGAAGTATTTTCTAGGGGGTCACAGATCACTTTATATGTGTTGTAGTCCTTGTTTAATAATTTCTTCCTTGACCTTTCAAGACAAGATGTTAAAGTTAACATGTATCTGTACATATGACAAGCAGGCCTTTTGTGTGGAGGAAGAAGCCCCTACTTTCTGAGAAGGAGTGACTTTACTCCTTAAAAATCCCTTTTTATTTTTTTTATTTATTGTATTTATATGCCACCCATCTAGACATGGTCTACTTTTTATGTGAATATGATAGGAGTCAAAGATTATTTGGCTATTATAAAAGAGGGTTACAACTAAAAAAAGTTTGGGAAGCAGTGGCCTATATGATTTGATAATGTGACAAGATGCTGTATAAAGGCAACAAAGATTCTTGTGACACATTAAACACTAATAAGTTTTGTTTAGCATAAGCATTTGCGGAATACAGCCCATTTCTTAAGGTGTATCTGAAAACCTTGTATTGTTTCTGGTGCAACAACCTAACAAGGTTCAGTTATTGTCTCTTTACTTTTAGCTGCTGTCATTTTCAGTTGTTTGAAATATCGTCCCATTCACATTACTCACAATCCTATGCATGCTTTCTTAAGAGTAAGTTGTCCATGAAGTCAGTGAGGCTTCCTTTTGAGTAGACATGCATAGTGATGTGCTAACTAATGCTCTAAGACTAAGTTATCCTAAGAACATGGAGGCAACATTGCTAGATCACACCAAAAACCTGCTACCTCATGCAACCAAATGTCTATGAAAAGCTCATAATCGCAAACAGGAAATGAGGGCCATAGCACTTACCCAAAGAAGTTCCCAGCAGTTGGCACTGACAAGTACACTGTGCCAGTACAAGAACTGATATTACAGTCCTTATGCCTAGTAGCAATTGATATCCTTCTCTTCTGTGAATTTGCCTAATTCCCTTTAATACTGCTTAAGTTCATGGCCATCTCTGCATCTCATGATACCAAATTCCATAGTGTAACAGCTCCTTAAATGGTGAAATGTTGCATTGACAGGAATTCAGAGCCAACAATGCACAGGTGTTTGATTTGAGAAACAAGTGAGGCCTAAATCATATGTAGACTGTTGAATTATTGTGAGGTTATTGAAAGGTGTTTGATTTGAGAAACAAGTGAGGCCTAATATTCCAACATTTTCCTCAAAAATTTCTTATACTGTACTAAACTTCTGAGAGTTCATCTGTATATCTCTAGGTTTGCAAGTTCTCTTTTTTAAAATCCTCCTACCTGCCAGTTACTTTAGTCCCATTGGCTTTTCAGAGCCAGATGAAATTTAAGAGTAAACTGCATTCTTGCAGTCTCACAGACATGGAATTCTGGATTCTGTTCCAACAAATGTGGGTTTTAGGTGGTCCTGAAAGTGTGTCCAGTGTGCTTGTCAGCTGAAGGTGAGTTCATTTCATCACACATAAGAGAGATCAGTGGAAAGCATTCTCTAATCCAAGCCATTCTACATGACAACAAGTTTGTCACTGATGTAAAACCACCCTTCCACATCCTATTTCTCTACAGGATCATTGATTCTTCTGGGAAATGCATGCACTGATTTTCCATAGCAACTTGCAATGATGTTGCTGAAGGGTGGAGTTACAGCATAAATTACTGTGAAAGGCCATGTATAGATCATGTGTGAATTCACTCAATCAGGTGGCATTCAAAAGCAGCCAAAGTGGATTATTCCTGTTCTGAATGTCTCTGAAGGATAGCAAAATGCTGCTTGCCCCAGAGCCTCCAGGAGTGGGGGAAGTGGCCGGTATCGTCACTTTTGTAGAACTGGAGTGTGGCAAAGCTCAAGTCAACTATGAATCTTATCTGAAAAAAAAACTTGTGAAGAAAGGGACAGATTTTGTCTAGGTAGTAAATATATTTCCTTTTTTAAAAAATTCCAGCTTCGACAGTTGTCACGTGTGAACCATCCTAATATTGTCAAGTTATATGGTGCTTGTTTGAATCCAGTAAGTAGAACCTCTTTGAAGTTTTACATCATAGTTTTGCTCAGGACTCCCCCCCCGACAATTACAATATGTTTTATTAAATGAAAATGTGTTTAAGGGAAAATGTTGCTTTGTTCAGTTTATTTGCACATTTTGCATGGATAATTTTTAAAAATTTATTACAATATGCTTATATGTTTGGAATAACGTGGTTTCTTGGGGTTTGTTCCACTTCTGTACCATGGGTTCGCTTTCTCCCAGCATTCTGATGCTATTCTGCTTTAAAAATGAACATCTTAAATTAGTAAGAACCAGTCTAAAACTGGTGCTTACAAGTTACTACTGCTTTCATTTTATTCCATTTGTACATCTTCTCTCTTCTATATTTTTGATTGGCAAAAAAGATAATTGCTGGAAGGCAGTGCAGATGGATCCAGCAGGATTTCTTTTTATTCTGCTTTTTATAGCAGAATAAAGGGGGGGGATGGTGGTGAAGATGAAGTATAGAAGGAAATTAACGTTGTAACAAGCTCTTGTGTGCAGCTCTTTCTGCAAAATCTGGAAAGGAGAATAGAAGAATTACATGAATTAAATTGTTCCTGATGCACAAATAAGATCAAATAACTATTTAAAAAAATCAAATCCAGAAAGAAATTAACCTGGGCAAAATTAAACACTCCTGGTTTAAATACTTTCCTTCACACATAAAAATAATTTGTAGAGAGAGAGAAATGTGTTATTCAATCAATCAATCAATCATTCTTTATTTTGCGGTCTCTGACCCATTAAAGTACATACATATAATATTTAAAATAAGTGGAAGCAATTAAAACATTTCAAGACAGTTAAAACAGTATAAAGTAATAAGATAGATTACCCATGCATTGTTTTTATATTAATATTATATACAATCAATCTTAATTTTGCTGTCTCTGACCCATTAAAATACATGCATGTAATATGTAAAATAAATGGAAGCAATTAAAACATTTCAAGACAGCTAAAACAGTGAAAATTGATAAAATAGATTACCCATACATTGGTTTTTTTGTTTTTGTTTTTATGACGGGGTTAGGTAGAGGTCAAGGTTGTTTTTCGTATTCTTTGAGCAGAGAGAAGGAATTTGGCCACTGATTCGGCTGTTATCTTGTTTGTGTCGCTTAATAAATATTTTGTATGCCAAATCAGACTCCTACCTGCGAAGACATTCGTTAATCAGCTTGAGGAATTTGATACGCTCATTTCTGTAAAAATTACACTTCAAAATTACACTTCAAAAGCTTCAAAGTTTCAATTTCTCTATCCTTACAAGGGCACAATCTTTTTTCATAAGGGGTGCCAGAATATTGCCCGTCTAAAATTGTGGATTGCAGACAGTTAAATCGGGCTCTTGAGAAGACGTGCCTGTATTATGGGATAATCAAATTCTCTAAATACCTAGCACTTTGGGAGAAATTATAGTTTAGGCCAAGGTGCAAGATGGAGCATGTTTTGTGAGCCATTGAAATAGAATACTGGAAGTCAATGTCCCTGATGCGCTTTTCTAAGATAGAGTTGGCTGCCTTGGGTTCCTGGGCATAAAGAAAGCCCAAAGAGAGCCCTAATAGATGCAGTTTGCCCGGAAAAGCTTTAAGCCATGAGCTGTTATGGTCATCCTTTCTGTAGAAGGTTAAGATAGCCCATAGAGGGAATAGCATGTATTGCCTTGTTCCAGTATCTAAAAGCAGAGAGCCAAGCGCTGCATTCTAGTGATGTTAGACCGGTCTCTAATCGTAAGGCAGCTGCAGAGATGCATCTTGGCATTCCCAGAATGGATCTTAGAAAATTTGAAAGAACCCTCTCTATGCTTGTGTGAAATCCTAGGATCCACGTTGGTATACCATATAACAGTTGGGGCAGAATCTTGAGCTTAAAAACTTGAATAACAGCTGGTATAAATTGTCCCCCCCCCCTTAGTAAAGAAAAAACGCAATATAGCTTTCTGTAATTATGGTGGTATCTGTATTATTGTATTCTCGAAGGCTTTCACAGCCAGGATCCGATGGTTGTTGTAGGTTTTTTGGGGCTGTTTGGCTGTGTTCCAGAACACAGCAAAACAGCCCAAAAAACCTACAACAACCATCAAATGTATTAGCTGCCAAAACAGATCTGTAGCATCTTAAAGCTATCTATGTATTTGTTACAATATAAGTTATCATGAGCTCTAATCCACCTTGTTAGATACATGAAGTGCTACCTAAAATTTCAGATATAAATTGCAGATTATGAATTTAAGAAGAAATTAAGTGCAGAAAATTCTAAGTGTGACAATTACATTGTAATTACTTTTAACACTGATAAGTCATAAAGCCATTGCTGAGAACACAAATTTAACACATGCTTTTTCCTCCCACTAAGGTGTGTCTTGTTATGGAATATGCTGAAGGAGGCTCACTCTATAATGGTGAGCATATTTCTTGAATTCTGTTACACAGAACTGTGCATAAAATAATATGGTTGCTTTTGCACATTTGTTATATTAAATCAGAGCTACAGAACTGACAGTTACTTTTAAATCTCCTTTTTTTAAAAATCACTTGATTTTTACTGGAAATTCTTTTGGTTTAGTTTTGTCTATCTTTTTTAAAAAATATATTCTAATCAGGCATTATTTATCAGTTCCAACTAAATAATATAGTGGAAATTCATAACTGAATTAGTTGAGGAGGGAGGAAATTTAGTTAACTACATTCTAGAAATGTAGCTTGGAATCTTTTTAAAAGAGACTTATTAAGTCAGATGACCATTATTATTACAGTAATTCTCTCTTAAAGAGTCATCGTGTTCTGTTTTGTCAGTTACCAGCCCCACTGAAAAATGCAAGAAAATATTTCCTGGTGATCTCTTGACCAATTCTGACATTTTACATTGATTTTAAAAAAATAAGCTGCAAAAGTCAAAGTAACCACTTACTTGTCACGTAGGATTAATAATGGCATAAAAATTGAAAACTCCCTGCAATGTTTACTCTATTTTCCAAAGCGTTTGTCCACAGAGTTCTGGCTATGACTGAAAGAAAATGGAGGAAACACTGGGTGAACTGTATGTGCCCCATGCAGCGCAATGCACCCACATGGCTTAGAGGGAATGTTGACTGCCTGTTAAAATGCTTGTAAAATGCCTAAAATGCCCTTTACCATTTAAAAGTAATCAAAAATATTATAACAAAAGTAACTTTGTAAATAGTGATAATGTTGCTTTTAAAGTATGCTTCAAAATGTTACTTATTTTTGTAATATTTTTAAAGGCCTGTATTGCTGCAAATAAGATAATTCATGCTAATTTGGATTAGTGTCCTCAGTCTAACATGAGCATAGATGGCTTCCTGGACAAGAATCTTAAAGTTACAAGAATCTTAAAATTTTTAAAATTGAGAAGCAGTGAGAAATTGCATGCTAATAGTTTTATTGTTCCATGGTTTACTCAAAGAAATAGGGTACCTGTCTTGTGTCTACTGCAATGTGCAATAAAACTTTCTTTAGTTTGTACCTTTATTTTCCAGTCCTTCATGGTGCTGAGCCGCTGCCTTACTACACTGCTGCACATGCAATGAGTTGGTGTTTACAGTGTTCCCAAGGAGTAGCATATCTTCACAGCATGAAACCAAAGGCTCTCATTCACAGGGATCTAAAACCACCAAAGTAGGTTTTCAGGAATCATAACAGCCTGTGTAATTCAACGTATTTTATAGTCACAATATAGTATTACGATATATAGTGCCTAGTTTTATATGTAATGTAAGGTCCTTTAATTGTATGATGATAATATGGTGCTTTGCATTGATAATGAAGAGTATATTGAATGCATCTACTTACTGTGTGAACATGTGACTGAACAATGTTATAGGCATCAATTCTGAGAATATCTTAGTTATTTAGAACTTATAAATGTAATGATAAGCATTTAAATGAAGCATATATTACTAATTTTAGAGGAAATCCCATTGTACTGCTCAGTTCTTTAAGCCAATGGTTCCCAACCTTGGGTAACCCAAGTATTCTTGGACTGCAACTCCCAGATACCCCAGCCAGCGCACCTGGAGGTGATAGCTTCTCAGAATTGCAGTCCAAAAATATGTGAGTTACCCAAGGTTGGGAACCACTGCTTTACATTGTCATCTGATTGGCAGTAGGAATGATGTATTGTTGCTTTTCTAATGAGATTATTACCAGTCTGTGGCTGGGGTATCTGGGAGCTGCAGTCCAAGAATACTTGGGTTACCCAATTTTTTCATTATTTTATAGATCGTCCCCATAGCACAGATTCTCTGAGTTGCTCACAGAATAACTGCAACAGTAAAATACAATATAGTGCAATGACATTTTTTTTAAAGAAAAGTTAAAATCCCGTTGAAAAACATAGGTTGAAAACAACGAATTGGCTTTTAAATGAATATTGGTCTGTATGTGCTGTGTCCCCTTAATGGATTGCTGCCTTGTCATGGTGAAGGGGCTTGAGTAATTCAGAGAAGCTATGGGCTGTGTCGTGCAGGGACACCCAAAACAGACGGAGAGTTCTCACTAAATGCGATCCACCTTGAGCAGGAACTGGCCACTACAGTATCTTTGCCAAGAAAACTCAATGGGTAGAAACAAAAGGCTTAAAGATATGACGCTGGAAGATGAGCCCCTCAGGTTAGAAGATGTCCAACATGCTACAGAGGAAGAGTGGAGGACAAGTACAAGTAGCTACAGAACTAATGAAGTGGTTGGGCCAAAGTTGAAGGGACGCTCAGCTGCGGATGCGCCTTGAAGTGAAAGGAAAATCCGATGCTGCAAAGAAAAATACTGCATAGGAACGTGGAATGTAAGATCTATGAACCTTGGTAAGCTAGATGTGGTCAAACAGGAGATGGCAAGAATAAACATTGACATTATGGGCGTCCGTGAACTAAAATGGACAGGAAAGGGTGAATTCCATTCAGAGGATTATTATATCTGCTATTGTAGGCAATAATCCCATAGAAGGAATGGAGTAGCCCTGAGAGTCAACAAAAGAGTGGGAAAAGCTGTACTGAGATACAATCTCGAAAATGATAGAATGATTTCAATACAAATCCAAGGCAGACCTTTCAACATCACAATAATCCAAGTGTATGCACCAACCACCGATGCTGAAATTGACCAATTCTATGAAGACTTGCAACACCTTCTAGAACTGACACCAAACAAAGATGTTCTTATTATAGGGGACTACAATGCTAATGTAGGGAGTCAAAAGATAAAAGGAACAACGGGAAAGTTTGGCCTTGGAATTCAAAACGAAGCAGGGCAAAGGCTAATAGAGTTTTGTCAAGAGAACAAGCTGGTCATCACAAACACTTTTCCAGCAACAAAAGAGGCGACTCTACACATGGACATAACCAGATGGGCAATACCGTAATCAGATTGATTATATTATCTGCAGCTAAAGATGGAGGAACTATATAGTCAGCAAAAGCAAGACCTGGAGCTGATTGTGGCTCTGATCATCAGCTTCTTATAGGAAAATTCAAGCTTAAACTGAAGAAAGTAGGAAAATACCACTGGGCCAGTCAGGTGCAATCTAAACCAAATCCCTTATGAATACACAGTGGAAGTGAAGAACAGATTTAAGGAACTAGATTTGGTGGACTGAGTGCCTGAAGAACTATGGATGGAGGCTCGTAACATTGTACAGGAGGCAGCAACAAAAACCATCCCAAAGAAAAGGAAATGCAAGAAAGCAAAATGGCTGTCCAACGAGGCCTTAGAAATAGCAGAGAGGAGAAGGGAAGCAAAATGCAAGGGAGATAGGGAAAGTTACAGAAAATTGAATGCAGACTTCCAAAGAATAGCAAGAGGGCTTTCTTAAATGAACAATGCAAAGAAATA